AGAAAATTTACTATACATACTACTATAAGTCTATATTCCTATAATTACTACTATCTCTGCAGTCCTAGTAGAAAGTATAGTATAACTAAAAAGGTATAGACTCCTTCTTTGCTCATTGATTCGGGTGCGGACACCACACGTCTAACGGGCAGCTGTGGCCCGTGGCTACATGCTGTTGCCGAGTGTTGCCTCTAAAAAAGAGATTGAAATTGCTCAGTTGCTGGTGGACTGTGGGGCGGCTGTGAATTCAACGATTGATGGACCCTAGAGGTCACCAACGCCCCTACATCTTGCAGTTGCTCAGGTTCAATCAGTGCATTGTCTTGTCTGCCAGCGAGCCGTCTGTGTTTATGGATCTCTCATACATTAAAATGCTTTCTAAACACCGGCAGATGGGTTATCCTTAGTATAATTTATTTATATCAGTCTCTGACCAGCAGGACCTCATCAGCTGCTCTATACCATATCTTCAAATGTTGAACCCACCCCAACTCTTCGTCCTGGAATGCAATCACCATGAACGGAATGCTCCTCTCTCAGATATTTACCCATTATCTCAGCCTACACTTTCTCAAGTGACACTGCTTGGAATATTCCGCCATCAGATCCACCCCAGAAGAGATGGCATCTCGCTAGGCTTCGCTCAGCGGAACATACTATAAGTCGTATAGCGTTTTCCAGAGATTTGTCGCGTCCTTGGCGTCCTGCTTTTGTTTTTTTGGACAGGAACGCATGCTGGAGCTGTGGACCTTGTACGCGAGGAGGTCCAACGGGGCAATAAATGGCAGATGCTTTAAGTTGACGCCTTCCAGCGTCATTGCATTCCCAGGCAGGTACGGTGGCTGTCGTCAGTCACGTTAGTTTGAATTCGGCTATCTGACTGGGGCACACAAACGTACCAAGTACCCTGGAATGATATCCACCTGCACTAAGTACGTCCGTTTGCACTTCGGTTTGGCCTTTAGTTTGCCCTTCCGTGTGCCCTTCCGTTTGTACTTGAAGAACAGCGGCTTTCCGCACGCCTTAAAGGACTTCCGGAACCGGGAGACCAGCTCCTTGCGGATCCATTGGGTGTCAATGGGATGGCCAGGCCTGAAAAGCAGAACATCCACATCCTGCACCAGGATGCATGGCCTCGTCAGCACGATGGGATAGGTAGATCTGGTGTCTTCACTGCACTCACCAAGGTTTGCCGGTCATTTCTCACATAATTTTGGACCGCTAGGCCACCGACAATTGCAACCTTAGCGCCCTGCAGTTCTGGCATCGCCTGTAGAGACCAGATGACCGCTCTTGCTGCAGCTCTGAGTGCGGCATTAAGGGCAATGTCAGACAAATGAGTCAAGCTCATGTTGAGAGTGGTTCCATGGTTTTCGAGATATAGCTTGGAAAGGGAGTTGCAGAGCTTGATTAAATGAAGTTGGTAGTGACTGAGCCTGTGAAGAAGGGAATGGACCCTGTTATTTATTGTCATCGCCTGGTTCGAGAACCATTGCATCTTGATACAGATGTTCACTTTGAAACAAGGGTGAGGATATATATGGAGGCATGGCAAATGTACAAAGACCTTTTCTTTTTTTAATCCTTTATCAACATCATGTGGAGCATACATTTTGTCTTAGTTATGGCGGACATAAGGGTGGTGTTATGAACCATCCTGATACAAGACATTATTAATTGAAAGCATTCATTATGCGTGATTGCTCTTACATACATTAGAGGGTGAAACTTCTTCTAACAGTCACGGAACAAGGTATAACAACATTATTCATTCAACGGATAAGCAAGTTAAACATATGTATGCTCAGAATATGGCAATCAATAATAATAAGTCAACAAGTACAGGATAAACACAAAACAGCTGTAAAGCCCACCCATCATTCCATCACGCATTCTGCTCCTCTTTCACCTCTTCTTCTTTCTTCCTCATCTGCTCTTCCTCCTCCTCCTCCTTCTTCTTCTTCATCATCTCGTCATACTCTTTAAGTTCTTCACGCCATCCAGCTGGCATAATAGCTTCCAACGGCCAGGGACTCTTTTCGGGCACCTCGCCTGCCTCCCTCATCTCCGCCCCAAACCTCTCCTCGGCATCCCCATGCGTTCTTTCCCGTGGGGTTTCGGTCAGAATTTTAAACCAGCTTCGAGTACGAGGCGGAAGGTCCTCCAGTTTGAAGAGGCGGTGCTCATCCATCACTACCTCCATGTCATCCAGCAGGGTATCCCACTGGAGCCCTCTGATAGTCTCTTCCAGGTGATTGTCCCGGAAGAACAGGAGGGTCAGCAACTCAGCGTAGCGCGCTAGCGAGGGGATCTTGACCAGATAATCCGCGTCGACAACGCGGCCTCGCTGGAATTCAATGGCGACTTTTGGAAGACGCTTATCCTTGACTGTCCAATAATCGGGGTCATTCACGGGTGGTATTCCCAGCGGGATCTCGGGCGCTCCCCACAGCAGCTTGGACTTCTTGTAGAGTTCCAGTGTGTACCATTCGCGGGGATTTAGGCTGTATTGCTCGGGTTTGTAGCAGTCCAAGGGGCTGAGGTCCACAATATTAAAGTGCGCGTAGGGGATTCCATGGCAAGAATTGGGGTGGTCGAAGCCGCAATACTTCCCCAGCTGGCACGGGGGGAAGCCGGCTTCTAGCAGGAGGTCGCGTGCTTTATCGATATGTTTATCAGGGATGACGAAGTAGATGCCCTATTGTTGGTGGTTAGCTCCTCCAACTGCAGTTGTGGTGCCTCAGGGGAATTAGGGGACTTACGTTTGCCTCAAGGGGAATAAGAAATATATTCATCACAAGCTCTCCCCAGAGCACGTTAGGGATTCCATAGGCATCCAGAAAGCGAGAGATCCGGCATGGGTAGGTCCGGTCAATCATTTGGCGGCGACTCCTGTTTTTAGGGTTAAATCGGAGGTCGGCCATCTTGCGCATATGAATCAGTTGTTCACGATGTTAAGACCACCATGTCCTGGCCGAGAAAGGTTGGTATATATATATGAAGACTTGAATGTTAGTCCCGTGCATTAACAGTTAATGCATAATGATCTTCCCGACAAGAAGCAGGGAATCTCTGTTTCAAGTTGGAGTAAAGGACCGGCTCCTTTAATCAATCCTCAAGGTCATTCCCTTGTTCATCAGTTCGATTCTCTGGATTTGTTGAAGTCGACATCTCTAAACCATGGTACAATCCAAGACCGTGTGGAAATATGAAAGAGTGGTAAAATTAGAAGTTTCTTAACTGTTGAGTCTTATTATTGTGTAGGCGTACCGAGAAAGAAATATCCCAGCTGAGAAAACCACTTACTTTGATAAAGTTAATAGAACTCTCCGTGCTTTGTCAGGGACCTAGCCGAAGAAAAAAAGGAGGATCAAACTTCAAAGGAAAAATGTGCCTAGTAACTGTAGGGCCATATCGTCCTTTGTTTTCAGATTGAGTGAGGTCCTTGAGAGCGAGCCGCCACTCAATGAGAAGGACCAGACTTTACTTTAGTACTGTGGTACGAGTCGCATTAGGCAGGGATACTGTCCAAGGGATCATTCATGACCTTGAGTAATGATTGTCGCACTGGTATTCATCCATTTTCCTTTATTACTGGCTTATTGTTGCAGGCCGAACCATGGACTGTTGCAGTCATGATGAATAGTAGGCAAAAGAAAATCACAGCATAATCATTTGGCTGGCACACAAACATAAAGGAGGCAGCTTTCGACTTTTCAGGAGTATCAAGAGACAGACAAGGTGGGATATCAATACTAATCTCTCCATCAAGTTGAAGACAGATAGTCCGTTCGGTACTTCAGTGGGTGGCCAAGGAATATCAGCTGTTATATGTTGTATCCTGTGGCAAAATGCTCCAACACCCCCGGAATGCCTACTTCTTTGTTTGTAGCAAACTAGAGCGTACACACTCATTCATGAGAGTTCAGGACTTGACGCCACATCCATTGGTGCATTGATCTGTTCCTCATGTACAATGACCCTCGAGCAAGCCGACCACGGCAGGACGACCGTTTTCTTTGGCCAAAGAAATGGCGCTTTGAACCCCATTTCTGTCTGACTGGGAGCTTACGGTTCTCGCATTCAGCAGAATACGCACCGTGTCTAGATGGCTGTGTTTAGCGGCCCCTTTGATAGTCGTCCGGCCTTCAATAGGCGATGCGGGAGTGTTTACATCTGCGCGCTTCTCTAGAGGAAGGAAACCAAGTCAGAGATGACCACAGATTAGGGCTCCATGCAACGCGGTTACTCCTCCTTTCAGACATGCAGGAGCATTCACGTCAACTCCTGCATCTAGGAGAAGGTGTATTAGGTTAAGGTTCATGTCCGCACTGGATGCCGCGGCTAGAAGTGCAGTTCTCCCATAGAATGGCGCAGCTGGTGCATTGACATTGGAACTTGGTGCTAACAGTCCCTTGTGCGCGGCGGGGAGTCGCTCAGGGGTATCTGTGAAGGTGGCCTGGTAGATTGCACGCAGGGCCTGCAAAGGCGCGGCAGATGGGGAGAAGCTGGTCATTTTCCTTTTAGCAGCGAGGGAGTCGAGGAGGACAATACATACCCAGGACTATTCGGCCACAGACGACCGCTCTACAGGTTATCAGTCCTACTTGATCAGTTTCTTTTGTGAATCCCACGACTCCGCTGAATTAGTTGCCTGTTGGGATAGCGACGTGCAGCATACGACCTTGAATGATAATGAGATGTAAGTGGGGACTGAAAAGGAAGGAACTAGCGACGAGCAATGCAGTGCAATTGACTGCAGAGTCAAGCTTAATTCCCGGTCGTTATTTAAACGAACATGATAGTGGTCAAGAAAACGATAATTATTCCCTATATGACCAAATCCGCCCCTCCAACCTTGCCGAAGAGACATTCCTCTGTGATCCAGAGATTATGGCATCCCAATAGCTGCACGTTAACATGTGGTCTGAAGATAGTGCTTCAATCATTGCTGAGAGCCTAGCTGGTCAAGAGTCACCTGCCGAACCACCTGCTGTCCATGCTGAGCATGCTTTGCAGCAAAAATGCATGTAGACACCGCTGCAAAGTCAAATGCTACTCAGGAGTCGATTGCCCACCCTTATCCACCTCTTGTGGATGCATCTTTCGCCTCTAGCCATACAGCACCAGAGCAATCATCTTCGGGAACATCCTCCCGTCAAGGCCGTCAGAAGAGATTTGGTGAATTCTCACATGTTGAGATCCCAAGCCGCCCTTCAGCTGAAGCGAAAGAGCTCTCAGTCAATTCCCAAATGCGCTTCCCCTAGCGTCCAGTTGTTGTGGATGATTCACCCGGCAATTCGTACCTGGTGGTCTTGAACATTGGCCCGCTTCTGGGTATTCTCTAGTCCTTGTGGAGCCACTGTATTCTCCATATTATGTCGCTGCAGAGGTTCCGAGGCCGTCTCCTGTACTGAAGAGTAGACTCCGGTCATTGGATCTTCTACCGTGGCCGCCCTAGCTCTCTTCTTTTTGCGATGCCGACGCACAAAGAACACAGCTGTGATTATTGCGATAATAGCGAATCCAGTGCCCACCCACATGCCAGCCGCTTTTCCAACTCCGGAACCTGGGTTCCAATGTGATCCGCCGGAGGTAGACGATGATGTCGAAGCGGGGTTCGTCAGAGTTGAAGTGGACGTGGACGATGTAGTTGTCGAGGCGGAGGTGGGCGTCGTTGTGTACATATTCGGAGGAATGGGGACTTCATCGTCAGTCCCGCGGCAGTTGGTTGTCGAACCGCAGCATCTCAGAATAGTTCGTGCCGTCGCATGGGGTCATAGGTGAATTGTTGCCTGCCAGGTCGCCGCTCTAGAGATCAGCTGCAACAGCATTAGCCCTGTGTGACTATTCACTTTTCGATTCTATAATATCATGATGAGGGGGCCATAATATTGAGTCAAGGGGCAAGTAACATACAGCGCAAACATTTGTTATAAACATCCCACCCTTGGCCAGGCAAAATCCGAGCACGTGCCTCACCAGTATGTTGGGGAGGTTCCGTTTCCTGGTACTTTGCAAAGACCGTTTTGTAGACAGTCGTTGGACTCATTGCAGCACATGCTTACTGCGCCCTCTATACCGTTGCATAGTTTGGAGTCATTGTGGGTAGCGGTGTCTCCATTTGGCCTGTAGCAGGTTGCCGGCAGAGAAAAGTTGAGGGATAGTGAGGAGAATCGCGAATAAATGCCTCATGGTGCTTTGAATGCTGATAAACAGGAAGACATGGTACACAGATATACCGCAGAAGACATGAGGAACGCAAAGGACCAAGAAGGATGGGATTAAAAAGGGGGAAATCAAGCAAAGGGGACGAGGCTGAGAGGCTGGGTCGGAATTAATGAGCACTGCGTTAAGAACAAGTACGCTGGCTAAGTCTCTCCACTTCCATATAATTTTGACCCTCTTCCTTTCCTAGGCCTTGGAGTACCAGATCTTCTGTGAAATGGCCCCCGCGCCTTAGCGCAGGGTCAGGACTCAGGAGCCTCCATTCCGCAGTTCTTACCTGAATAGGGAATGGAATGGACGCTCTAATGTAAGACGACCTCTAACAGGCTAGTGATCTACCAAACAGCTAGCCAATAATAGTGTTCACATGAATCCGTCCGTTCAATTTTATAGATAGGATGTAAGGCTGTCTCTGTGATCATCACAGCTGCGCCACAATAGGCAACAAGGCAGTGTTACCCATGCTTCCCCGTGTACACTCTGTTGTTGGGTCATGTTGAATTTTTCCTGGCTGTACTTCATGTGCTTGCGAGCAGCTTCCTACTACTTCCTGCTACTTCCCCTCCCGAAGGAAATATACATGAACCAGTCTGCTCACTGATGTTAAAAATTGACAGAAAAGATGCATGATGATCAAGATGACCAGCTTAGGAAGAGCTTGGTTGAGACTCCGGCTACGAACTCGGCTACCTCCACGCCTGGTCCCGAGCGTTATTCAGTAGACGATGGCTCCTCCAACCGGCAAGGCGCCGGGAGCGACGACAAGCCCAAACCACCCAAACCATCTGTCCCCCTGCAACGTTCCGTATACATTGTGTTCTTGACTCTGCTGTACGGAGCCGCAGCACTGTACGCTTGGGTCATCATCTGCATCCTCACTTATCACCCCATCGGTGCAAATGGCTATGGACACGGCGAACTCAACCGCATTCTCAGTGGCCCTCATCTTGGTACCACCACTGTGCCCGAGTACCTTGACGCATTATTCGCCAAGAGCGAGAGGTATCTTAGGGCGGCGAGAATTATCCAGTCCTTGGTGTCCGTGCTCACCATCCCCTTGACTTCCGCCGTGTGCTCGCAGGCAGCCGTGGTGTATATCCAGCAGAAGCGAGGGGACAAGCGCCCGACCCTCAGGCAAAGCATGGCCCTGGCGGACAAGGGATGGACTGACCTTGTGCTCTTGAAAAATCTCGTCTTTGGGGGTTGGAATAAGTACAGGTCCTCGCTACTACTCTTTGCCCTGTTTCTGCATCTCCTAGGTGAGTTCATTGTCTTATTTTGCTGCACCTGATCTACCTGCTCACCTTCTTTTCTTTTCTTTACAGGCGCTGCCATATCTCCGGTACAGCAGATCTTTCTCTCGTTCAAGACGATCAAGCGTCTCAGGTACCCCGTCAGCCTCACCCAAATCACAGACTTCACTGATCTTTTCCCGGACCGCGGACCTGACATTGGGCTGGATGCAACGAAGCTCAGAGCCACTCTGGCATCGACGGTCAATACTGTGGTTCAGCCAAGACTCTGGTCCTCAGGCAATGGCACAGTCTCCCTTGATGATAAGAGCTACCAGACTTATTCGGAATTGCAGACAAAATCCCAAAACACCCTCGCCAATATATCCACTATAACTGATCCATTCTGGGCCGAGCTCCCCACCAGTACCAACACTGGTTTACTACGACAGTTCGCTCCTCGCATCAACTCGACCGCCATATGGGAGAACAATTCAGCTGCCATACTTCCCGAAGACTGCAACTCATTGTCTGACGCCTTCTATCTCCACTACGAATATGGACAGGAAGATGACGCTCCATTTCAATACAGCGTTGAGATATGTATGCCGGGAAACATGTCAGAATCGCCGTGGAAAAACCAATTGTCTCGACAAGATTTAAGCGAAGAGTTGTATTTCAAGATGAACTTTTTGGGAGGCGGGGGGATGCTTGATTACGTGCCCAGAGCAGGAACATACTGGAGGAAGCTGACACTCCACACCACAACGGGCTACTTCGAGCTTCCCAACTACGCGAATGGCCAAGTCCCTGGGCTGTTCATCGAAGAAAGTCCGTTTGACAAAAACCCGCGAAATTTAACCCCTCGGGATCTAGACAACAATACAGCATGGACTACGCTCAACGCTACCTTGAATGTGATCAATGCCGGCGATAAAGGTCCACTTCTTAACATCGCCATGGCACTGTTTGGCGAAGGCTCTTTTGCCGATGTGCAACACACAGTCTTAGCAGCATATGCCAACTCTGGCATCATCTACGATGGTTGTATTGGCATCATCCCCTTTATTCCACTTCTTGACGACCCCCACTCCTCCTTTAAGGTGTCCCCGGGTAACCCCTGTCTAACGGGCAGTGGTACCGGTGATCGTGAATATAACGACGACGTGATGCATGCAATTGTTGCGAACTACTTTTTCCTTTTCTCTGGGGATCCTACTTATGGGCCAACTTCGGAACGAGTACAGAACGCCTTTGCCTCAGCGGCGTTTCTAGCCAGCGACATGTTCATGACGAATAACTACCATGAGCAGAGTATCAGCATATCATATGATATGGGTGCAGATGTACAAATCCCGCACATCTCCTGTGTAGGAATTATCTTCGTCACAGTATTATTAGGTCTTGACTTGGCATGTCTCCTGGCATTGTCCCTCTATAGCGCGTGGATTCCTCGATGGACTGGGACTCTCGACTCCTTTGCGATGCTGCGGATCGGGGCGTGTATATCAGAAAAGGTTCCTCTGCTGGCCGCGCGACATGTTGAGCGCATTAAAATTCTTGATGAGACTCCCGGATGGATGGGGAACGCATCCGATGGCGAGATAGGGGAACTATGCTTAGGCGGGGAAGGGCCACTTGAGAAGACGCAGCGTTACCGCAGTTATGACACCGATCATGCGACTCAAGCAATGGCGACAAGGAAACCCTCGGGGCCGATCAGACAAGAGGGCTATTCGGATTCCTTAGCTCCAGGAGAAAGTGTGTAGCAGTCATACTCTTAAATGTATTCTGACCCTGGCGACACCCACCTGACTACTGGCCGGAGATAAGCCACACGCCAGTTGGTTAATAGTGAGTATCTGCTTAACCCAGGGGAACAGATAGTACTGCGTGTCATCAAGGAGACGCTTCAGGAGGTAGAATCATCATCTGCTGGTGGTGACGCAAGAACAATCGATACTGCCCCGGATCTGCTTGCTTCCAAGGCAGTGAGGGCTTGGGCGGTCATCCTCCAAGGAATGAGAACTTGGGATACGGTGGAGTTTATTACACTGATTCTGCATGCCTAACTGATTTGACTGAGGGACAGGCATTACGCAGTATGGTAAGAGATCAAGCACAAACATGAGTAATGAAAGTATTGGGGAGTTCAATGTTGAAAACGAGAGTATGAGACCTTAAATTGTTCAGGGGATACGCAAGATGGATAATCTGATACAGTCAGAGTCGATGGTTGAGCTACAGAGGCTCAAATAAACGTCATCTTGCATGTTAGACGGCTAAATATTTCATAAAGTCGATAATAACCAGTACTTCTTTGTTGATATAGGTAATTTGGGTAGGGATACAGCGACAGCAAAGATCCAACCACAGGCAGCTCCAAATATCATGCCATCAACTGAGAAATGATGGCAGTCGCTTAGGTATCCCCGCTCTTTAGTAGAGGTAGCTTTACTAGATCGCTTCCTTTTACTACATATGTCTGTGTCACTTCTGCATCTATATCAATAATCATAGTCATCCTCAAATGGTTTTGAATACTTCTTCCCGCGCGCCATACTATCATAGTCACTTCCCATTATTCTGCGCTCCAATATTCCTTCTTGACTGAGCCGAGTCTCATCCAGCGTCTCATGCAGGGGAAAGTAATTATGGACAAAGAAATCTTTGAGAAGGCCATTCAATGGCCGAACTGGCTCGATGATCCGATCATATAGTCCCCGCCTCCTAGCAATTTTTTCTGGATGCTCTGGATCCAAGGTTCTCATAGCACGAGGAGACAGGCTCAATTCCAGTGTGATGTTCGGGAGATTGAATGACTGAGAGATGACTTTCACGGTCTTGATCCAATCCACTGTCTCCGTATCGTTTGGACCGAATGCGTCGTCACCCAAGGTAGAAGGAAATATCCAATGCACCCGGCGGAGATACTTCCACGAATATTCAGGGAAACCGTGTAAGAATCCTGATGTTTGTGGAGTCCATGCTGTGGTGTCTGGAGAGTCCGATTGATCGTACCAAACTTCAAATGTATTTTTGGAGTAGTACACAGACAGCGCGAGCTCTCTTATGCTCTTACTGACAAGATAGCGTGTGTCTGGAAGTTGCCAACAGGGATGAGCCGTAGAGAAAGCAGTATGTGTTGCAGGGCACCAACATCCTTGATCAACAAGGTATGGGTGAGGTCGTGCATTACAAGCTCCATACCAACAATCTTGAGGGAGGAACCGCTTGTAACATGATGTCAGTATTAGTGGTAGAGGTGCAACTAGCTCTGTGAATTCAAGTATGCGGACTTGGAGCTCCACCGGAAGATCAAGGAATCGGAATACCCCCGGTCGCGCGTAATGTATGAAAAACCTCGTCTTTTGGCCTATTGTTGCCATCAGAGCTTGTTGGAGATCGAGGTTGCGACGTGGCCCTGCACGGATGGAGAGTTCTCTGAGTCGAGGAAGCTTTTGCAGTGGCTCTAGAAAGGCTGCAAGGGTCTTTTTAGTAGCGGCGCCACAGATCAAACGAATTTCCAGCTGGTCGTCTTGCTTGATATGCGTTGCTAACTGGTGACATATCTGCTTCCACATGCCGAGCACACCATTCTTTTCGAGTTGGCTATCATTTTCGAGGACTTCCTCGGCCGTACCATGGCAGGCCTGCTTCCCTGGACCGAGACAGTACTCAGCACCGATCCGGATTGCAAAACGCCTTAAGGATCCCCATCCAATGCGGCCCATATTAGATAGACTCCGCAAACGACAGCCCATTTCATATTGGAAGCAGAAATGATTCTCAGAATAGAAAGTGCGACGAGCATCTTCAGATACACTGCGTGACACAAAGAATAGTTGATTTGGAAACCATGGTTCCTGGTTACGGCCTGGGCGTGATTCAGCTTTCCCGAAAAGTCTTTGCTCACGGGACGACCATTCCCCGACAGCCTGGCCGGTACTGAGATCGATCTCGAAGTCAACAACGAGGCCTATTTCGCGGTATATTCTGAGGCGGATGATATAAGGGAGGCGCAGAAAGTATGGTTGATTTGTCATTATCATGGCGCTAGGTTGAAATGTATATGAATCAATAATGCACCGTGGTTAGGCCTTAGCTGGAGATGAAGTTAACTTATGATTCTCCACGATTAAGGCACCACACCCTAAGATAAGGCACCAAGTTGGTTACCTAACTTAGTTAAATGATTGGATATTATTCAACAGATGCATCCTGCGCCACACCAGTAGAGATAAACCAACCCATTGGTCCGCGACTAACAACTTGCATAGCCCCAAGTACCAACCATTTTCCGCCCCCACAGCAAAAGACTGGAGCATATATCGAGATCTCAAAATGCTTTTCTGAGAATCATCTTCATCCCATGCGAGCTCCATATCCAACCTTGCATAAATCACCAGCATGCCGCTACAAATCACCAAGAACCCCGCAAGACACCCTGACTCCAATAAACACCGAAGGCAACAATCCCATCAAATTTTTGAAACATAGACAACACAAGCCCAGCACAACCGCACGCTCAGAGCTTGGTCTCCTATTGGCGCCAACCCATGCTGAAACAAGCAGGAGCAGGAGAATAGTCCCTGAGAATAATCAAGTAGGTAAGGAAAATTCTAACACCAGTTTTCTCAACGAGATTAAGTGATGCGAAGAGGACCCAACTAATCAGAGTAACAGTCATTGCACTGATAGCAAACCATGCTCGTTGCTGCATCCTGTCAGAAAGGTAGGAGACCATCATCATGACTGTTACAGCTATGAGATTGGGTCTGATTGTCAGGAGGCTTGCGCGAACTGTGTCATTTCTTAGATGTTCTATCACTACCTGGTCAGATTGTCAGCAAATGAGGTCTGTAGTCTCCCTTCACATTTCTAAAAATGGTTGGTTGGGAGGTATTAATATCAGCAGGAAATTTGAACTGTTCACAGAGCCAATTTCATAATGCAAGATCAAGCAAGCAAAAGCTCACACTTTCTAGTCTCCCAATGCCACCAGTCCCTAGTAATGGTATCATGCATGGAGTCCATGTTTCCTTTATAAATTATAATTGCCCATAATGCTAGGTGCCTATACTTCTAATGTATACTCAAGAGTCTATATCCTATCTTAGTAGAGTCTATATCTACTCCATCTAGAGTCTATATCACCCTACTTGTTCGCCAGGTCCCATCCACACATAAGCTTCTGTTCACATAACCCTAATTTATCCGAATTTCCTGTGTTTGCTTTATTACATTACACACATAGTCTTCTTCATTATCATGCATTAGAGTATCTTGAAAGATACATTGACTTTTGCTCTATGAAGCTACCATGGGGACCTAAGCCATAGCAGGCTTGTCATCGATAAGTTGCCTATCGATAACTATTGACAATAATCGTTATCGACGATAACGATTATTGATCGATTAATCATCGATGATCGGCAGAATCCTCACCGCCCACTTGAGAGAATCGGGAAGCGCCAAGTGTCCAATTAGGATGGCTCAGGGGCCAACTATATATAGGCTGACTAAGTCGGGACGCTAAACCTAAACGGGATGGAATCCTGACACCCCCCCTCGGACCGAC